CATTTCATCAGTGATGATTGTGCTGGTATCCTCTGTGCCAAGATTCAAAGCAGACACATTTTAGCAAAGAAATACTTACTTTGGATTAAATACGATGACGTCGGTATCAAATCCTGGTTTTGCAAATGTAAAGTTGGTGCAAGAGTTGTTGGCATGTGTGATCATATTACCAGTGTAATTTGGTTCTTGGCTTTCGCTCGTCATGAGGGAAGTGGTGCCTGTGGTGTCCGTGATTGGTGTGGTGTGGTTGAAGATGCTGCTGCACTTCCGATTGTTGAATGAGAGAGTGAGGAGGAATATAAAGAAAGATGTTTCATAACAGAAGAGGAGTGAAAGTGAATTTCAGGCTAATCGGTCGACATTGCAAAATATAATTCAAAACTTTTCAGAATTATTGTTTAACATCATATTCTCCATACACACATTTATCAGTATTATGATACGTGTGTGATGGATAAATCTTTCTGTTCTTTTTATTATTTATCCAAAATGTATTGCTCTGTTAATGAATCTTTTTATTTATTAAAGCAGTTTTAATTTGAAATATATAGAGTAACTCCAGATGTACACATGCCTGTTTTTTTAATGAATTTTCCTGAAATTTAATAATGGTATACAAGATATTTATATTTTGTTTGGCTTATATATATCTACATCTGTGAAGACAGATATTTAATTGAAAGGTTCATCATGGATTGAGTAGTGTTATTATATACACGTGGTTAATAAGTATATCATTTTATGATCTAAGAGCTACATCAATATTAAATGGTTTTTCAATCAATTCCTGAATTTTTATCATACATTTTTACATAAATTTCTCTTTACCCCACTGTTTATATGATTGTCTCTCTTGTTCATGAGAAGGATAGATTTCATTTAACTATCCCTAATATTCTTGGTAGAATGATCCCTAGCTATTAGAATGAACTATAATAATATATTGAAAACTTCCAAATGGTATGATTGGTTGTCTGATACATCCTGGAGTACGTTTTACAGAAGAACTTCCAACTAAGACCAAAATGTATGCAAATAGCTTTCTTTTTCTGTAAATGAGAAAAGGTTTTACTATTTTAAAAAAGAATTTAGAAAAAATGTATTATGCAGGCAATTTAATTGGAAATAAAATCAATGTAATATTATAAATAGGTCTATACAAGCAAGATATTGCAATCACTACACATGTTCAAGGTTTTATTCTTTAATAGTTGCAAGTTCTTTTGTAAAACGTATACTGCATCCCTTACTGGGTTGGTGAGAACATCAGCAGACATTGGCAACCAAACAGACAAGATTTGCAAACAAACAACAATTTGTTTGTTTTGTTTTTTTCAGGTGTGAATGGCTCTGTTGGCTAACGGAGGACTAAACAAGCAAATATGACAGGGCAGCAGTTTTAAGAAATAGCTGTTTTAAAGCCTCATCTTGAAGATAGAGTCAGGGGATATAAAGATTTTTTGTTGTTTTTAATTTGCCCTGCATATTATAAAATATACAGTAAACTGTACTTAAAATGTCAAGATGATGAGGTGTTATGGGACTTAATGAAATTTCAGATGGCCTTAAGGATGTCATGGAAGTGAGGTCCCTACTAACAGCTGAAGAGGGAGGTACGGGGGTTAGTTCTACTAGACAGGTATCCCCAGAAATCCCACCAGAGAAGGAAAGGACAAGGAAAAAAAATATTGATTGATTATATAATGTTTAACGTCCCTCACCAGAATATTTCAATGATATGGAGACGTCACCATTGCCGGTGAAGGAAAAGAAAGAGGACTGCTGTTGGAATGATTTGTTTGTTCTGACAATTAGAAAATCGTGTACATTTGTAGATAACAACTACATTTAAAAGCGAATAGATCATTCCTCTAAGCTATTTGATGAATTTTATTAAATATTTTCTATTAGTTTATAATGTTTTAAAACATAAGGAATAAAGGGTAAAACAGTATACCCTTCCTCTCCTTCGTAGCGGGGGTATAAAAATATTTGAGACAAATATTGCAACATTATTTTATAATGGTGTAAGGTGTATTTACATAAATAAGCAATCTAATTATAAATTACACCATTTTTCTAGCGTACTCTGTTTAGCACAAAATTAGAATTTCTCAGTCCGAGGGAAATAACTCTTGTCCGAAATGACTCGATCGTGCCCAAAAACCAATGGTTCTCGAGATAATGAATTTTGCAATAAGAAATGACAGCTTTGAAATTCATGAGGCAAGTCTTATAGCTTGACTCTAAAAAACCAGGCGCAAGAATATTTGAATCTCATATGTACCGGATATGGATGGGGAGAAGGGCCATACAAAATTAAGTAGAAATAGGCGGTGCAGTAAACGTGAAATTCAAACCCTTAAATACATAGACGAAATCCACAGATTGGGCAAACATCGTCAAGGGAAAATGAGAAAAATTATAGGAAGTATTTATCAAATTATACTTTCTGTTTATCAATGAAATATAACTGCAAAAGTTTAAATTTATACCTCAAATAGTTTTGGAACTATTGTAAAAACAAGTTTTTGGACATATTGAACTTTGACGAAACATTGAGGTATTTAATACGATGTACATCTAGTCAGTGCATTTACTTGTTCTCTGTTTTTGAACATATTTTATTGACAAAAGTCAAGGGGATCGGACACAAGTTCTAGCAACTTAGGTAGTCCTCTCCCATATTCTCTGTTGAAAACAACTTGATAATTTATATAGGGTTGTTTATAATGTTCTTCAAGAAAATAGCATTGCACTGTTATTATAATATAGATATGTTGAAATGTTCGAAGAAATTGTTAAAAAGTTAGAAACTAATGATAAAAATACACGTTTGGCTACTTGGAGACTTCAATCCTCAGCAGGGCCTCTTAAAGAACAGACTACATTATTGTAAATGACATTATTCTGGATAATCTGCTAATCCAGGAAGGATATGAACAGGAAGAATTTCTTTCACGAACAGTATAAATTTCTTACAAGAAATCGGTATTCAAATACTGAGGTATTAAAACGACAAACGTGTCGACAATTATGAAAATAATCTACTTGAAGTGTGTAAAATCCTAGATTTACATATTGCAAATGAATAATCGGTGATGATAGGTTTATAGCTGCTACAACCAAAAGTAAAGATACCGTTATTGATTACGTTATTCTGTCTCCATCCTTATTTGAAAGTAATTCTTCTTTCAAAATATTTTTCCCGCTCAAATCATGACAACCCAGATCCTTGCAATTTTATTTATTATGAACTAATTAGCTGGCAGCTTCCACGAATGGGGCCCCTACCAAGCTCCATTACAAGTAAAGCATTTTGCAGAATGTTTTTATAATATATTCAAACAAAGTCATATAGATCATACACTTTCAAACTAGCAAATTCTGTATAATTAAAAGAATTCAGTGGTATTTATATTGTATTGGTATGAAGTATATATACAGTCAAATAGTATACAGTTATGGAATGGGTACATGGGAAATAGCAAATTTATGGTTCCCCGTGGGAGGAAACTATTTCCCATGTACCCATTCCATAACTGTTTTAGTAAACCGAAACAAGCACACACGAAATCTTTATTCTTTCAAATACTTTGACATTTTAAAAAATACACTATAGAAATATAATCACAATTGCATGGGGTTTAAAAGATTGTATGATAACTAATTCAGCGTGTCTGAGAACATATAAATTATTTTTAAATAGAATTTTCAAAGACATTTCGAAACAAGAGGCCCACGGGTCTTATAGGTCACCTGAGCATCATGAAACAACTTTCAAATGATTGAATTAGGTTCATGTTTTAAGCTAGATGCTATGGCATTCACAATTTTGAAAGAGGCACCATTGCTAATCATAACTTTACACTTAGCAATTTAGTTTGCTTACTCAATACCGATAAGCAGGATAGGGGAACAAAAAAGTATGTCAACTAATCAGTAATATTCAGCAGTAATCAGGAGTGCTCCTACCACACATGAACCCCTTACCCTAGGTCTACACATTGCACAATTTTTGAAAAGGCACATTTGTTATCAAAAATGTTTTATTAATACCAAGAAGATTTCAAACCATTCATTTTCAGTATATAAATACTAAATAGAGCCCCCCGCCCCCATATCGGTATCCCTGATCCAGGGGCCATGAAATTCACAATTTTGGAAGAAGAGCCCATCATAACTATGTAAATAGTTCATCAGCTTAATACCCGGGAGTAGAGAAAAAGATTTTCATAGATGTAATGTATTTTCACCATATAATCATTATAGAGCCCCGCCCTAACACCAGAACCCCTGACCCTGGGGCAAAAAAAACAATCACAATTTTAGCAGAGGAACTCTTGCTAATCATAACTATGTACTTAGTTTATTTAATACTCAGGAACAGAGAAGAAGATTTTCAAAGAATTAATGCATTTCCACTATATAATCAATAGAGCCCTGCCCTAACACCAGAACCCCTGACCCTGGGGCCATGATTTTCACAATTTTGATAGAGGACTCAATGCTGATTACAATCATACAGTTTGACTGCTTGATGTCCGGGAGTAAAGAAAAATATTTTTAAAGATTGCACTAATTTTAGTGGTTTTTGCCCCACCCCCGGGGGGGGGGGGCTGGGACCACAACATTCACAATTTTTGTTCCCCTTCACCCATAGATGTTATATGCTAAAATTGGTTGTAATTGGTTTAGTGGTTTCAGAGTGTCAGAAGTGGGATTAGTCTGTTCAGTCAGGAGTATTTTTGTATATTACACTTATGTTTTTTTTTCTTTAATCATTTTTGTTGTATTTTGCAGTCAAAGAGTTTGTAGATTTTTGACAGTCTCAGGGTGTGAGTACTTGGTTTATTGATGGAGCCCCAAATGGAGAAAGCTAGGTTACCGTTGCTTTGTTTCGTATGAATTGAGTTTGTATACTTAATTTATCTGTTGAGATACAAGTATACACATTTTTGAGAAAGATTTTCCACATTTCATTTTTGTTTTGAAAATCAATGTTGTTCTACTGGATTGTAGTAATATTTTTCATATTTAGTCAGTTAGTGTTAAGTTCTATTACAATGTCGACATTGAAAGAACTTGCAGAATATGGACAGAGTCTGAACTTGACTGGTGCGGACTTGCAGCAGTTTATACAGCAACAACAGGCACATCAGCGTGAGCTACGAGCGGCGGAAAGGGAGAAAGAGAAGCAGGACAGGGAGTATCATCTCAGTAGAGAAGCACTTGAAATTGAGAAACTCAAACTACAGGAAAAGAAAGGTATGGAAGAGATTGAGAGTAAATTCATGCAAACTATTCAAACCTTAGAGCAAAAGTTAGCTGTAAAGGAGTCAGAAACGAAATCAGAAAATCCTAGTAATGCAAAGTTTCCAAAAATGCCTGTATTCGATGAAGTTAAGGATGATATTGATTCTTATTTGAGACGTTTTGAAAGGTACGCTGCAGCACAGAAATGGAAGTTTGACAGTTGGGCTGTTAACTTGAGCGCACTACTCAGAGGTCGTGCACTGGATGTGTATGCACTGTTGCCGCAGGAGAAAGCGTTGGACTATGATGCTTTGAAGACGGCGTTACTAAAAAGGTTTGAAAAGACGGAGGATGGATTTCGTCAAAAGTTCCGTAAGAGCAGACCTGAGGTAGGGGAAACTTTTTCACAGTTTGTTGTTCGTCTCGGTAGTTATCTCGATAGGTGGATTGAACTTGGTCGAGTTAACAAGACTTTTGATGGCCTCTACGATTTGATAATCAGAGATCAGTTTCTGTTCATGTGTAACAAAGAATTGACATTGTTTTTGAAAGAACGCATACCGAAAAACATCAGAGAAATGTGTGATTTAGCAGATCAGTTTAGAGAGGCAAGGCATGGTAACATTCAGACATTAGTTCATTTTAGCAAGAAAGAGAACTCTCCAGGAAAAAGTCAGGCATCGAGAGAACAGGAACAGCGAGATCAGAAGCCAGGATTGAAGTTTCAACCCATGAAAACTCCAATGAAGAAAGAAGTTCGTTGCTTCAAGTGTGACAGACTGGGCCACATAGCATCTCAGTGCCACCAGACTCAGAAGAACCGGAACTCATTGAATATTGTCGTCGATCGTACAGAAAAGGAATCTACGACAAAGAACTCAGAATTACAAGGCAAGTGTGGAACTTTTACTTCCTTTACAAACACATCAACATTTTCGATAGCGTCAAATTCAATGGACCTTGTAAACACTTCATCGTGTAACGTTAGTGCATCTCTTGAAGATATGCCTACCTGTAAGGGCAAGTTAAATGAACATTTTGTGACAGTGCTTAGAGACACTGGTTGTAACGGTGTTGTAGTTCGTAGGGATTTGATAGATGATGTTCAGCTTACGGGAAATCATCGAATTTGTGTTCTGGCGGATGGATCTAGGATTCAGGCACCTGTTGCGCGAGTGAAAATAGACACTCCTTACTTTGTGGGTGAAATAGACGCTTGGTGTTTAGAAAATCCATTGTATTCCTTGATCATAGGGAACATCCCCAACGCAAGAGATCCAAAGGATCCGGATAGAAACTGGACACCTTATCAAGCGCATGCAGTAGTGACAAGGCAACAAGCTCAAAAGGAAGGTAAGAAGACTAAATCTCTTCATGTTCCAGATATTATTGACGCTGAGATATGTCCTGACGACATCAAGGCAGCACAGGAGAAAGACGAGACGTTAGCCAAGATACGCTCTTTGGTAGGACAAGACGACGACTCCAAGGTATCTTACATTAGTAAAAAAGGTATCATTTATCGTGTCTTCCAGTCAGATAAACATCAGAATGGTAAACGTTTTACACAGCTAGTTGTTCCAAAGAAATATAGGACTAAAGTTCTTTCGCTTGCTCATGAATCTATTATGACAGGTCACCTAGGTACTTCCAGGACAGCCAGCAAAGTCCTTGCAGAATTTTATTGGCCGGGAGTTCAAGCGGACGTACGTCGATTCTGCAGATCATGCGACATCTGTCAACGTACTACTCCGAAAGGCAGGACTACAAAGGTACCACTCGGAGATATGCCTATTATTGAGGTACCGTTCAGACGTGTAGCTGTCGATTTGGTAGGACCTATCCAGCCAGCAACCAGTAAGGGTAATCGTTACATTTTGACTATTGTTGACTTTGCCACCCGTTACCCAGAGGCAATTGCTTTAAAAGGAATTGACACTGAACGAGTCGCTGAGGCTCTGGTAGATGTATTTTGTAGAGTAGGAGTACCGAAGGAAATGCTCACGGATATGGGGTCACAATTTACATCCGAGCTGATGACAGAGGTTAGTCGTTTACTTTCTATACAACAGTTAACAACGACACCGTACCACCCCATGTGCAATGGACTGGTCGAGCGGTTCAACGGTACATTGAAGCAGATACTCCGACGGTTATGTGCGGAACGTCCTACTGATTGGGATAAGTATCTATCAGCCTCATTGTTTGCTTACCGTGATGCACCACAGGAGAGTCTAGGATTCTCACCGTTTGAACTGGTTTACGGACACGAAGTTAGAGGACCTATGAAGATTTTGAGGGAGTTGTGGACTAAAGAAGTAGCAGATTCAGAGGTTAGAACTACATACCAGTATGTTGTTGATTTGAAGGAACGACTAGAAGCTACGTGCAGATTAGCGAGAGAGAATCTACAAAAGTCGTCAGAGAAATACCGGAAGTATTATAACAAGGGAGCACGGAACAGACAAATGTCAAAAGGTGAGAAAGTTCTTATTCTTTTACCAACTGCCAGTAACAAATTACAAATGCAATGGAAAGGTCCATATGAAGTTATAGAGAGACTAGGAAAAGTTGATTACAGAATTAACGTGAATGGAAAAATCAAAACATTTCATGCAAATATGTTGAAGTTGTACATTGACAGAGCAAACGAGAGTAATGATGAGACAGGTGTTCTAGGTGTTGTAGGCGCCGCAGTACTCGATCTAGATGATGATGGAGAGAGCGACGATGAGCTGTTGTGTGATTCTCTAGGAGAAACGAAAAATGAGGGACCGGCAGATGTGAAAGTAAGTGATGAACTAACTGAGAATGAAAAAGCAGAAGTCAAGACATTACTAGAGAATTTTTCAGATGTTTTATCAGATGTACCTGGTTTGACGAATCTCGGAGTTCATCATATCAAGTTGACTAGTGACCAGCCTATTCGCACCAAACCTTATCCTCTGCCGTTTACTTCAAAAGACGTTGTTTGTGACGAGGTAAGAAAGATGGTGGAAGCCGAAGTGATCGAGCCTTCGACGAGTCCATACAGTTCCCCGATAGTCATCGTGAAAAAGAAGGACGGTTCGAACAGGTTTTGTATCGATTTTCGTGCAATTAATAAAGTAACTGTTTTCGATGCAGAAACCATTCCAAGTGCTGATGATATTTATGTACAATTATCTGGCTGTAAATATGTGTCCAAATTTGATCTATCTAAGGGATACTGGCAGTTACCTTTGGATGATGCAGCGAAGGAGATCACCGCTTTCCAAACGCCACTTGGTTTGTTTCAATTCAGGGTGATGCCCTTTGGCTTGATAAACGCTTCCGCAAGTTTCAGTCGCCTGATGCGTAAGCTCTTAGACGGAATGCAGTGTGTGGATAACTTTATAGACGATGTGATTGTGTACACTCGAACATTTCAGGAACATGTTAATGTAATTCGGGAACTTCTGCTAAGACTTCGTGCTGCGAATTTGACTGTGAAACCAAGTAAGTGTTTTATTGGTTACCGGAGTCTTGAGTGTCTCGGACATATTGCAGGAAATGAAGAACTTAGACCTCTTCCTGACAAAGTTTCCGCCATTCACAACTTTACCCAACCTTCAACGAAGAAGCAAGTGCGATCATTTTTAGGTCTGGTAGGATTCTATCGTAAATTCATTCCGAATTTTTCAGCTATTGCTTCGCCTTTATCAGATCTTACCAAGAAAGGCCAGCCGAACAAAGTGATTTGGAAAGAGCCACAAGAAAATGCATTCATCACTCTCAAGAACGCTTTAACGGTAACACCAGTTCTCAAACTACCTGATTTAAATGAAAGCTTTGTTTTACAGACAGATGCGTCAGATCGTGGTGTTGGGGCAGTTTTGATGCAGTACGAAGATGGTGTGAAGAAACCTGTCGCATACGCTAGCAAGAAACTTTCCAAATGTCAGGTAAATTACTCTACAATCGAGAAAGAGTGCTATGCGATAATCTGGGCAGTTCAAAAGTTCCGCAGGTATTTGTATGGTAAGGAATTCCTACTAGAGACAGATCATCAACCACTAGTATATCTTACCAAAGCCAAGGTGTCTAATGCACGTCTGATGCGCTGGGCATTACTTCTGCAACCATACAGGTTTCGCATTATTTCCATCAAGGGTTCTGAAAATGTAGGAGCTGATTGTCTTAGCAGAATTTAGATATGTATATAATTATATATAGTCGATTTTATGCTATAATTGATTGTGTTTTTTTTCAAAAGTTCGTTGAACTTTCTTATGTTGGGGAGATATTGTCACAATCAATATTTAATTTTAATTGCATTTACATTATGTTTATGGTTTTTATTTTATTTACCCTTTACTGGACCTCTATATTTTTGTTACCTTATTGAACCTCAGTTAAGTTTTGCAGGTATTGGTCAGTTACGACCTATTGTATTTTGGGGTATTTAAATCGCTGCATAGCTGACCAGGTAACCAGGGTCCACGTTTTCATAGCTTTTAAATGGTTGACATACAGTCCAAGATGAGTGGCTAAATTTTTTCTTTCAACGGTAACCATTTCTCCAAAGGGGTAAGTTTGTTTTTTATTTCATATGTAAGTTTTTGAGTAATACATTTAAAACGTAGAACTATTTAAGAACTTGAGTTAATTAATGTTTTTGTTACTATTTACGTATACAGGTTTTGCTGGGTAGAGTTACTCATGCGTTTATTGTTCTATTTTTGTGCAATGTACTGAGTTATATACGCACGTAGGCTATTTTGTTTTGCCGCTTATAAAGTCGGTGTTGTGGGTTTAATAGTTAAAACCACTTTTGTTAAGATGTTGTGTATTCTTAACGTTTTTCTTATTATAATAGTGTTCGGTTAAAATTACCGGGACTGATTGTATGGTGTGCCATAAGTGCAATTGTAGTCAATGGTGACTTGAGTTTTCCTTTTGTATACGTGGCTTGTGACTTAAAAAAATGTTATTTAATTCAAAGGTTCCTGATGTTATCCAATGTTAATCTATCCATGTGTGTGTTGGCAATGAACTTACCAGACCGGGATACCCACTGGGAGCCAGTTGGCGGGAGTCCGTCGTGAAACGGGTCGTGTCTGGATAGACGTGGTTTAGAGTCAACGATATTGAGGATTAATAGAGACTTTAATTTCTGTGTATTGTAAATAATAGCTGTAAAAATATGTTGTAAATATTGTTTTTATTGATTTTATTTATAGATAAAAAAAATTGTAAATAGAAAAAAAATCTTGTTATATCTGACTGGACAGAGCACGACGGCTGTCGTGACACAGAGATGAAGCTGAAAATGTTTAAATGTTAACGAACGACGGACGACGACGGACAAAAACAGATAGCAATACTGAAAACTACGATTTTTTAGGTCACCTGAGTAAACTTAGGTGACCTAAAATATCGTAGTTTTCAGTATGCTAGACAAGTATGATTTTTACATCGCATGACGAAATGTTTTGACGTCATAATTACATTGCATTTAATATTACGTCATAGACTCCAGATTTCTTGAACGCTCCACCAACACTTTGATCGGTCAAAATCACTAATAAATATTTTAGTGGGAGTAGTACTAGGGAATAGATCGATTTTACAGGGAGTAGTCCTCAGATGAGAATAACAGTAGAGGTATAATAATTTTATTTATAGTATCTCATTTTACTTCCCTGAGGGCCTGTTTTACGGTATTAAATTTATATATATAAATAACAGTGGAGATAAAGTAATGTTAGCACATCGGTTTTTACGGTCGCATTCAAAGGATCGGTCTCCTTGTCCCACAGTGGGATTCGAATCCCGCGATGTAAGGCGACAGTAGAGCAGACGCTTTAACCACTGCGCCACGCGACAAGGCTTCTAAGAAAATGATAGAGGAAAAAAATTCAAAACTTCTAAAGCCATGATTAAAAAATATGGTAACAAAGTTAGTTTAGATTCACATTTTCTTCAAATCATTCCTCCTTCCCTTGCATGTAGAGATAAGTTGAAAACATTCATAAACTACACTGTACCGAGCTTGCCGAAGTGTTTAGACGAGGGATGTTGCCCAGTGGCCTCTGTTTGCAAGCAGAGAATTTGCGAGACTACCAATTCTCCAATGTTTTGATGATTAGGCCAGACATATCGGAAGATATCTGAGTATCTTGGCATATTGCGATGTGCTCTTGGTCGTGGATCATGTAACTCACATCCCCTTCACCAAATACTGAAGTAATTGACAGTCATTTGCTTTTATTGGACTGCCTTTAGTCACTTTGGTTTGAATGAAGGTTTTGATTACACGTTTCCTCTAATACATGTACTATGTCTCCACTTTTACAAAACATCTATAAACTTTATAACACAACACATACATGCTTACATGCAGCTATTGGGTCCATGCCCACGGCACACTATTAACTGAGAAATTTCATTTATGAAAAGAATTGCAGGTGAATTCACGAGTCCTTACAGTTTTTTCTCCAATCCTCATCTTGTATGTTGTTCAAGTAAAATTAAAGCACGTCTTTAGAGTCTCTTCCAAGCATCAAATTGCACAAATGCAAATTTAAAGTGCTGAATCCAGCTAGGTTCATCATGCAAAATGGACTGGGTAATGATTTGTCCAGCATAAAAGTATTTTTTTCCTCCAATTTCTTTATGTCGTGACAAAAGAATTTGGAACCTGAGCTTCAGGACCTTCAACATGGAGCCCGTTAGAACTTCATGTTGTATTAACCTACAATTTACTTTAAAAAATAGTTGAACAATTAAGATACTTAAGATGAGATAACACTGTCTTAATTTATCCTTGTCACCTGCTACAAGAGATATTTATAATAGGGCACCTGAACGCAATATGGAGATGGTGAAGAAATCGGAGAAAGTTTGAAAAATAATGTGCACCAGATCTTCTTTAAATTAATTGTTTGCCCTCTCGCAGCTCCGAGATATATTATTGGCCAGTGGGTCATCAGTACGTAGTTGGGAATTTTCCCCCCAGAAAATTTAAAAAATGTTGACAGGAAAAGAGGAACAAAAAGAAGAAAATAGTGTCCACGAATGTATATAATGTCTCCTTAGTTTCCTGCATGGTGGTCGTAGGTTCTTTATAAGCTCTAGACCCAGCCTAGGGGAGCAGTTTTGCCTGTTTTATCCTTTGGTATTCGGATCTCGTCTTGTGACCTTTATAGAATGCCTGGATAGTATTGCTATCCGTTTTTGTCCGTCGTTTGTCGTTCGCCATGCGTTAACATTTGAACATTTTCATTTTCTCTGCAACCGCTCAACCTATTTTGGCTCAAAGCATCTGTAGGTAAAGAGGAATAAAAATTTTGTGAATTTTATTGTCCCTGCCCCCCTGGGGTCTGAGAGGTGGGACCTAAACCACTAAAATTAATACTATCTTTGAAAATCTTCAAAACTCCTGGACATCAAGCAGTCAAATTGTTGTCATGATTGTTATCAGCATTAAGTCCTCTACCGAAATTGTAAAATTAGAGCCCCAGGGTCAGGGGTGCTAGGGCGGGGCTAAATAGATTGTATACTGAAAATACATTTTTTCTTTTAAACTCTTCCTCTCTGCTCCTAGGCACTAAATAAACTAACCAAGTAAA